CCCAAAATATCTGCCCAGAGATGTCACCTGCTTCACATAACTTAGATGATGTGGCAGGAGGGGTTGGATGGGGGGAGTAAGAGCTGGACACATTCTGTGTGTGGACGTAGGGATGCTGTCCTCTGCCATTCCCGACTGCCCCAGCCCAGAAGCAGCAGCACTGTGTAGCTCCTTCCTCCTGGGAAAGGGTTCATTTTCTCCACCAAACTTCCCCTCCATCCTTTCTTCCTTCTCGCCTTTTCTCTCTCTCTCTCCTTTTCACCTTCCCATCCTTTCCCCTTGTCTGTGCTCCCCCTTCTTCTTGGCACCTGGTGGCCCCCAGGGTTACAAAGCATTCAGTCAGCTGCCTGAATAATTAGCAGATCATTCTTAATTATCCCAGACTGTGGAGAAGACTCTGGTGGGAGCCCAAGCTCAGCGCTGCTTCCCCAAGGCTGGGAAGAGGCAGGGGAGGGGCAGCTATTCCAGTGGCAGTGGGTGCTCTTTCATGGCAGCCTCTAGGGCCTGCCACCCAGAGTGTGACAGGCTATAGCATTGGTGGGGGCCTTCCTGGCTTCATAGGAAATATTCCCATAGGGAATGGGGGTCGTCTTTGGAGGTGGGGACAGGAAGTCCACGTACTGTCCTGCCCTCCCACTCTCACACGGGAGGGGAGAGCAGTCCCTGGGTGCTTCCTTTAGAGCTTCATGCTTCACCAGAGGAATTGCATGCCCTGACACCTATCCTGTGTGGTGTTCTCTTGCAAAGAGACTGTTTCCTTTGCCCGGAGTTTCCTTCTTCATTTCTGCTCCAGATACTTCCAAGAAACTTCCCCAGTCCCACCCGCGTCCACCATGCGGGAGTGTGCACTTTCCTGTGCGTGCCTATAGAGTCTCCTCTCCTAGCCTGTGTGATCCAAGTACTCGAGGTGTGTCAGCTGCCACAGGAGCGCTGTCCAGGAGCCACAGTCATTCCATGATATACAAGTTACAATTCAAATTTTTTGGCTAAAGAAGCCAAGGCACGGGCTGGGGATGTGGCTCAAGCAGTAGCGAGCTTGCCTGGCATGCGTGTGGCCTGGGTTCGATCTCAGCACTGTATACAAATAAAGATGTTGTCCGCCGAAAACTAAAAAAATAAATAAATATTAAAACTCTCTCTCTCTCTCTCTCTCTCTAAAAAAAAAAGAAGCCAAGGCACATACTAAGAAGTGACTTGCCCAAGGTCACTCTGCTTCTAAACAGATGTGCAGTCCCAGTCCATGGGACATTGTGGTTATGTAGTTATTGATGTCCCTTTTTTTCGTCCCTGATAGACCTGAATCACCTTGAGGACAGATATATGTTGTCTGATTCATCTCTCCCCACAGTCCCCAGCAGTGTGTTTTTCAAACAGAACACCCTCAAATTGTTTGTTGAACAGTGAGGGGTGGGGAGGGAAAGAAAAGAGGGGGATGTTTGGAGATGCCACCCTCCAGTGCTGGTGGAGGAGGGTGGACTAGTTGTGAGGCCCAAGTGCTGGGACATATTGAGTGAGCTAGTTCCATTCTCACCCCTGGCAGAGGCAGCCTTCTCTGCCAGTGCCTGGGCACATGTGCTGCAGCTTCAGCAATGAGCCCGGAAACTAACCTGCCTTAAGTAGACTACCAAGCCAAGAGGATCTAGACCAGGAATGGCACAAACATTGCCCTCATGCCACTGTTCCACCTTTGGCCCCTTGGGAGGGCACTGTTAATCAACATCCCAGCCCCATTGTGGCCTAATAGCCCTTCCTAACACATCCTTCCAGACCATCCCTGCCAGTCAACTGAAGGGGCACATGAACGGTAAGCTCTTTGTCAGCCTAGGTCTGTACGCTCCCTCAGCGTCATGGTGTATGATCTTAAGAACTGAGACTATCTGGAGGCTTCACTTAGACCTATAGGTTCTTAGATGAGAAAAGAACCCCAGATACCATGTCTTCCATCCCCCACCCTGAGGTAGGACTCTTGCTTGGTGCATCTCTGACAGGCAGTCATCCATCTGGAATCTGATGGTCTTGCAAAGCCATGCAGCTCTTCACTAGAAAATTCTATGTAGAACCAAAATGTGCTTCTTTGTAACCCCACTCACTGGTACTAATGTAGCTGTCTAGGTCTGATCACTTTTCCACCTAACAGCCCTTTTGATATATTTGATATTTGAAGGGAATTATCATCTTCTCGAAGTCGTCTCATCTTCAGCCAGAACATCCTTCAGTTGTCTTCCTACGACATGAATTTCTCACTCATCAGCCTCCTTTGTACGATTGGTCGATTGGTCGTTTGTCACATTCTCTTTACCACTTGTAACATGTCAGACTCTGCCCCAGATGCTAGAGACAATGAAGAAGACAGACTTTATAGTCTAGAAGGGAGTTCAGAGCCCAATTTGAAGGGGATGCATTGGTGGCTAAAACTGGTGCTAGCATGAAGCAGCTCTCCTTAATCCAGGGCTCTGCTTTCTCCTGTGCCTCTGAGAAGGGTGTATGAGAAGGGTGTATGTTCCCTGCTTATTGAAAGGACAGGGGAGGGCAAGAGAGGGATCACTGAGATCTCACTCACTTTCTAAGCTGCTTAATGTGCTTTTAGCTCCTACTGAGCTTTTAGTGAACTAAAACCTCCAGGTCTTTCTTCCCTGAACTGCTGCTTAACCACGTTCCCTCTGCCTTCTGTATTTGTGTACTTGATTTTTTAGACCTAAATGCTGAGCTTCACATTTATTTTTTGTAAGTGGGATCTTGTTGATTGTAGTCCATCCTCTGGCCTTTCAAGATGGAATCCTAATACCACTGTGCCTCTTGACCTACCTCTATATGATGTGCCCAGTTTTCTAATCAAGTGTTGAATGAATGGGACAGGGCCCTGCCACAGACCTGTGTAAAAGGCCAAGGTCATTCCCTTCTTTTTGTGTGCCTTTTGGGTGCTGCTGTTCATCTGGTTGTGATCTTTCTTCTATGTCTTCTCCTCCAGCCCCCATAGCTTCATCTTGTCCATTGGATTTGGTTAGAAACTCAAAATCCTTTATGATTCAAGATGGCACCATTTTGAAAGTTTTCCCCTCTCTAAAACCTTGCCAAAGAAAGAAATGTGATGGATTTTCTTTCTTTAACACACACTAGCCCCTAGGACTTGCCTCTTCCTTCTCTAAGTGCTTACAGACCCTCTCTTTAATAACACATTGCAGAAATTTGCCAGGCCTTGTTTTGGAACTTTATGTTGACAGCCTTGAGATATCAGTCCTCCTCTCTTTGATGACAGAATTAGAACAGAGTAACTATTGTCCATCTCGCATTCTCATGCCCTTTCTGCTGTCCCATGAACTCTGAGTAGAGCTGTTAGCTAACTCCTAGGACTGTTTCAGCAGAATGTGGCTGCGTGGGGGACTGGAGAGAAGTGAAGCATCTCGTGTTTGAGCACTCATTACAGTAGGTGAAGACCTCTCCCTGCAGAAGATGGACCCACTGGGTCAAGTGGTTCTGCTGGGAGGAGACAGTTTCCTCCCTTTCTCTTTCTCTTCTGCCACCATCCACAGACCTGTTAAGGGGAAGAAGCAGCTTTGGGACCTGTGCATGCCTCAGTTCCCCCGCCTCTATCACCTCACTAAGTCCTGCACGTGCAAGCCAGGTGCGGTTGGGACTGACTCACCAGGACATGGAGACCATGGATTTTGGGGTGCTAAGACCTTCTAGAGCTGGTGGGGTGGTTGAGGAGGTTTTTGCCAGATTCCTGACTATTCCATCTTTTTTGGAAATCCCTCTGCCACCCCATTTCCTCTTCCTACCTTTTCCATGAACTAGACTTGGCCTCTGCTTCCTTATTCCCTATGCCTCAGACATTTGCTTGCTGTCATGAGGCAGTTGCTCAGAGGACCTCTGTGAACGTGGAATGTAGGCAGGGGCTAGTTTTATTGGCGGTAGGGGAGCTGGAGAAGTGACTGGGAGGATATTGTGGCACATGAATCAGACATAACTTCAAAGAGCACAAAGAGTTGCTATGGCCCAACAGTATGGAAACACACAAAGGAGGCTCACACACATTGAGTGTGAGTTAGAAGAAGCCTCCATCATGTGAGAACCATACAGTGGTGCCTCCAAATGCCAGACACTGTTTTAGGCACAGCAAGGAACAAACAGGCCTGACCTCTATCTAGAGCACACACAAGCAAGCAATGCATGGTGCCCAGAAGTGCTGTGGGAAGAAGCATAGCAGGCTGGGGGCAGAAAGTACAGGTGCGCTTCAAAGATTCTGTGGGCAAGGAGGGGACTCTGAAGTAAAGGAGCTAGCCATGTACATGTCAGTAGAAATGACATTCTGATGCAAAGGCCATGATAGGAGAATGTGTTTGGCACATCAGGGAATAGCAGGGTGGCTGGTGCATGAAGTCCACAACACATCTGGAGGAGGGTGGAAAAGGTGAGCAGCCTGGCCACCTGGAGACTTGTAAGCTGTGATCAGGATTTAGGATTTACTCTGTGAGTCATTGTTCATTTGTAGAGGCAGTCCTTCAACAGGCCTGGAGTTTGAATGTAGATGATGGCCCATAGGACCGGGCTTACCCTTCACTTAGTCTCACCCAACTCTAGTTTCCTCCTTGGCAGAGGCCAGTAGTCTGTTGACATCATGTGCCCACGAGGGATAGGTACAAATGCTCTTCCAACTGTAAGTAACTATACATATGTGTAGGTAATCACAATGGTCTTTCCGTATACCCTGCTTGAGACTGTAAACTCCTGGAGGCAGGGACTGTGTCCCTTCATATGGCATGTGCAGGTGCCATCTGGGGCCAGGTGGCTACTCTTCCCTACCCAGGGCTCCAAAGAACTCAGTGCCATTAATGTGTAGACCACTCAGGTTGGTCTCCTGGTAGAGACCATCTGGACAGGGCAACATCAACTCTGATGGTCAGGTGACACTGTTTGAAGAATTCATGCAAAGTCTGCTATTGACAGCAGGAGGTGCAGGGCTGGGAGTAACCCCAGCTCTCTCATTTTTTCTGTGGCAGGATCTCCCAGCGGGTAGAGCTGAGCCGGAGCCAGCTGCAGGCCATTGGGGAGAGGGTCTCCTTGGCCCAGGCCAAGATCGAGAAGATCAAGGGCAGCAAGAAGGCCATCAAGGTAGCCTGTGGGGCCCTGTGGTCTGTAGCTGGTGTGCAGTCCTTCCATCTTTCCATGCCCCTGCTGTCCTCCTGCCCAGGGTCATCTCTCCATGCCTCCCACTAACCAACCCTAGGCTCTCTGGAGCTTCTCAGGTCTCTTAGCCATATCCTGGTTCCCACAGGTATTCTCCAGTGCCAAGTACCCAGCCCCAGAGCGTCTGCAGGAATACGGCTCTATCTTTACTGGGGCACAGGACCCTGGTCTGCAGAGACGGCCTCGCCACAGGATCCAGAGCAAGCACCGCCCCTTGGATGAGCGGGCCCTGCAGGTCTGATGGCCACACTCATCACACCCTAATGCCATGAATGCTGATGGGGAAGCTGAGGAATCTGTCTCCCGAGAAGATTCTGACTGGGATGGGGGTGGGGGTCAATATAGCTTGGTGCTAAAACCCACTATCCATCCCTGTCACTCACCCCAGGAGAAGCTGAAATACTTTCCTGTCTGTGTGAACACCAAGCCAGAGCCCGAGGATGAAGCTGAGGAAGGTCTTGGGGGTCTTCCAAGCAACATCAGCTCTGTCAGCTCCTTGCTGCTCTTCAACACTACTGAGAACTTGTATGGCCAGAGGGTGGGGCTGCAGAGATGTGGGTGGGAGGGAGGCTGGGCTTAGCAGGGGTTCCAGGGACATGGCTCTGGTGCAACAACAGTCCAGAGCTGACAGCTTGTTTTTTTCTGGTTTGGTTTAGTTTGGTTTATAAGGACTGAGAACCCACAACAGACTGCATCCTATGATGCCTTGGGAGAGGTGGTCAGGAACCCAGGCCTGCCTGATGCCACCCACCCCACCCTGTAGGTACAAGAAGTATGTCTTCCTGGACCCCCTGGCTGGTGCTGTAACAAAGACCCATGTGATGCTGGGGGCAGAGACGGAGGAGAAGCTATTTGATGCCCCTCTGTCCATCAGCAAGAGAGAGCAGCTGGAACAGCAGGTAGAGATGGAGGCAGTGTGGATGGGTGGGGTCTGTCAGCCCTGCCAGGGTGCTTCTCTAGACAAGGGCTCTACTATGCCCTTTGCCTACCTACCCAGCTGTGTGGGGTCTGCACTGGGTCACACTGGCTCTGCCTCCAGGTCTCACAAGCAGGCCCTGTGTTCCCAGGTGGCTGCTGACCCTCATGAACCTCCACCCAATCCCACAGGTTCCAGAGAATTACTTCTATGTGCCAGACCTGGGCCAAGTACCCGAGATTGATGTGCCATCCTACCTGCCTGACCTGCCTGGCATTGCTGATGACCTTATGTACAATGCTGACTTGGGGCCAGGCATTGCTCCCTCTGCCCCCGGTGCCATTCCAGAACTGCCTACCTTTCCTACAGAGGTTGCAGAGCCTTTCAAGGCGGGTGAGCTGGGAGCTAGTATGGGAATTGGCCCAGGGAGCTCCCCTGTTTGGACTCTTTCATCCTAGGCATTCACACACTTTCATTCTAGACCTAGAAGATGGGGTGCTGACAGCACCCCCACCACCACCACCGCCCCCACCGCCACCCCCAGCTCCTATGGTGCTGGCCAGCGCCCCTCCACCCCCACCTTCACCCCAGACTGTGGCCTCCACCAGCCTAGGTGCCAGGGAGGACGACAACAGCAGCAGTGCACCTCCTTCAGGTAGGGGTGGTGCCGGGTGGACTCAGTCCTTGGAGGCACCTTCAACTGTCCAGTTTCCAGATCCCTGAAAGGATCAAGTAGTCATTATTCCTAGATTTGCAGAATAGTTCTCATTTCAAATATTTTTTTCCACTAGGTTCATAAAATAGTGGTTTTCAAATTGTCGAGCTTTGGAATCTTTAGAGGGAACCTAGAAAATAGGGCTCTGTGTCTCCCACTCCCAGTTAAGCCAATGAAGAAGTCTATTAAAAAAATTGAGAACACAGAATTTATTTTAATATTGTATCTCCCAGTCTATTTCCAGCCTCCAGAAGGGGAACAAAAATCCTTTTTTTTTCCATGTGTCAAGATGGGACACTTATCAGCACATCAGTGATTCATAGGGCCCACTTTTGCAGGGTGGCAGCTAAATGGGATGGTGGAGAGGGACCAGGGATACCTGGACACAAAACTGCAACCTGTTGGCTACAGTTCAGGCCCTGCACAGTCCCAGAAGCCCCTGCTTCACCATCTGGCTTCCTCAGGAGAGGTGCCCTCCCCCATAGTCAGGCTCTGGAGGCTGTTCCTCCCAGCCCTGCCTGAGCAGCCTTTCTTCCTTATGCCCATCCCACCTCCCAGTTCCAGTCCAGGGAGCTCCCAAGGAAGTGGTTGACCCCTCCAGTGGCCGGGCCACTCTGCTGGAGTCCATCCGCCAAGCTGGGGGCATCGGCAAGGCCAAGCTGCGCAGTGTTAAAGAGCGCAAGCTGGAGAAGAAAAAACAGAAGGAGCAGGAACAAGGTGAGGGGACCCTTGGCCCACTGCAGGAAGACTCCAAACAAAAGGTCACCTGCCCCTCCATTTCCCACGAGTCCCCACAGTGTTCTGCCCAGCCACACCACCCCAAGCTTTTCCTCCAGGTATTCACTGGAAACCCCAGTGGATATCCTGACGTGGGCCAGGCACTCCTTAGTAGAGCCTTCCCCTCTAAGCTCACCCAACTCAACCACAAAGGAGAATCTTGGCCCAGGTTATTTAAGGAAATGGTCAGGGACCCAAAAGACTGAAGACCTGGGGGGTTAGCTCAGTCCTACTTTACGTTTCAGGCTTGTCTGCTGTGAATCCCAACCTGGCATCATGCATTACCTTGGCATAAAGCAGCAGGGCCCTTGGTTTGTGTCCCAGTCTGCTTCTGACCTGCCTGGTAACCACAGGCAAATTGCCTAACCACTCTGGGCCTTGTCCTCATTGTGAGAACTAAAATGTTAACTACTTTGTTAATGCCACTGCAGGATCCACAGAGACCAAAGCTCCAAGAGTCTGTGGTGAACGTGTGGCTGGGGAGCAGGCTGGGGAGTGTTGTAGAGGTGGGGTGAGCAAGCCAAGAGTGTGAGGCTGCACCTAGAGATGTCCTATTTGGCCCATTTGCACTCCCTCACCATGGCTTCCCTATTGCAGTGAGAGCCACGAGCCAGGGTGGAGACCTGATGTCGGATCTCTTCAACAAGCTGGTCCTGAGGCGTAAAGGTAGGAGGCAGGGTGCCCTGCCTTTCGGCCTTGAGACATTTTGTATTATATATAATCCTGTGTGTATCTTCCTATTCTTAAATCTCCCAAGGGCTGGGTAAACTAGTGCCCTGACCAACCTCCCTAACTAGTCTTCCTTCCCAGGTATCTCCGGGAAGGGACCTGGGACTGGAGCCAGTGAGGGACCAGGAGGAGCCTTTGCGCGAATGTCAGACTCCATCCCCCCTCTGCCGCCCCCACAGCAGCCACCAGGAGAGGAAGACGAGGATGACTGGGAGTCTTAGGTGGCTCCTCCCTCCCTAAACCCTGACTGTTGCCTTCTTGGAAACATCCAGGAGCAGCTCCTGGGCCTACCATCCTCTCAGCCTAAGGATCTCAGCTGGGATAGTGGACAGTCCCAGATCTGCACCTAGACCCCCTGCACAGGGTGTATGTGTATGCCACCCGCTTGTGCCCTGCTCATGTGACTGCCTTACCCACCCTTTACCAGGGTGCTCTTCTAAAGATCTTTGAGAAAACAGTAACATGAATCAATAAAGAAGGGTAATACAGGAATGGAGCTCAAGCCAGCAGTGCAATTTTAATTAAGGAATCATAGTTGTGCAGGGCATAGCTCTGTCCTTGAAGCCTGTCCCCTACCCTGGTGGTCTCCAGGTGATGGGGCAGGACTTTAACGATACTGAAGCCCCTTTCTCCAGGTAGGGGGTATGGGAGCAGGGGCAGCTATTGTGGAGGGAGGGAGATTTTCCACAGGAAAAAAAAAGTGACAACAGTGTCTCTAAAAATAGTCATGCTGAGAGCCTAATGGCCCTTGGCATGATCACTGATGTCAGAGTAGAAGGTGTCTTGGAGTTTGCTCGAGTGGCTGAGAGGGAGGGAGGTGCCGCTGACTTAGAGGAGGAACTGGAGCCAAGCCAGGGAGATAAAACCCTTGCAGAGACTGAGGGACAGGGGAGGGAACAGGGCTGCAGCTGGGAAGTGAGGCTGTGGGGAAAGGGGCTGGAAATGGACATCGTTAGCTGAGAGGGTGAAAGCACAGAGGCAGGATGGGCCTCACCTCTGAGAAGGTGGTGGCTGCCCACATAGCCTCCTACAAAGGCTGGCCAGGAAGCTGACCCTGGGCTGTGCCTAAGCATGGCTAGGATGGACCTACTATTTCTTGAGGATGAACGAACCTGCTTCTGGCTTTTCTATGTAAGCTTGGATCCTGACAGCCCTTGTGGGCTGGTTTGAACACAATTCTACACACGGGTTCCACCTTAGGCCTAAGACTAAGGCCAAATGGGGGGAGGGGTGGGGGATGGTGACAGGCAGTGGTGCAGTCAGGAATGGCCTGACTTCTCCCGATGAAACTGTGGAGATAGGAAAAAGCAGTAAGAAACTATATCTCAGGGAGGAGAGGCTCCCAGGGGAAGGAAAAGGCAGGCCTGACCTTCCGCATAGCAGCAAAGGCAGGGCCAAAAGTGGCTTTGACCTCTACCCGGTCTCGAATCCAGGCTGGCAGCTTTGCCAGGGTAGAGGGGCGAGCGTACCGCTGGTCCAGAAGTACTATGCTGGCGAAGTCCCTCTGATGCCTGATGGCTCTACCTGGGTAGGCACAAAGGTTATGGCTTTGAGTAAAACAACCTCCTGGACAGCCATGTGTCCTCCTCCCTTCCACAGCCCTCAGGCAAGAAAGGGCAGGTAAAATCCCTCCTTCCTGTCATATCCATCCATCTTTCCTAACTGCCTTGATGGCCAGGAACAGTCCCAGGCTTACCTATGGATTGGTTGACAGCCTTCATACACAGATTCTCCACCAAAGCCTTCCCTGGGAGGGCCTGACCTGGGGCCCTAGGCTAGAAAGGATAGAGACAATCTGGGTCACTTCTCACCTCTTTTTGGAGCAAGGCCAAGAGGCTCTATGAGCCTAAACCAGCAGCTGGCCTAACAGGTGATGTCATGGAGAAAATCAAGAGGGTGGGCAGAATCATCCCAAACCTTTGGAGGAAACATCAGCATAGTGGAAAGTTGCACCCTAGGGCCTTGCTACCATAGCCCTAGGGGTGACACAGCTCTTCTCCAACCCTCTCATCCTCTGGAACATTGGAAGTACTCACAAGGGTCTGATCCAAGTAGGCCATCTTCTCTTGTAGCTCTGGAGACCTGATGTTGGGGTAGGGCATGCCCACCATCACCACACACCTGGTGGAGACACGAGTCAAGGCCTCCCTCACACCTCCCTCATATCTCGTCAACTGCTGTCTTTCATAGCTTGCATTACCCCACCCAACACCTACTATCTGGAAAGCTCTAGCCCAGGCCAATGAATGGATCCTAATAAAGTTATGGTCTGCCTCATATTCCCCTTGCTCTAAGGGGGCCAAATCAGGGATGCTATAATTCTAACATGCCCTTGCCCCACAATGGACACTGAATAGTCAGCCTGGGTGCAGACCCAGATGGCATCAGACCACAGGCAGGGGCCATTATCTCAATTCCAGCAGAGAAGAGGATCACTACTTACCGGCCCAGGTCATCAGAGAAGTTGATCCCTTCACTCATCTTTCCTCCGACCACAGAGAGAAGCAGGGCACCCGTCACTGTGCCTCCCACCTGGCCACAGCTCTACAGGAGAAACCCAGCCCAGAGCTGCTGAGCCAAAGCTGGATGCCTCCCAACTACACCCAGCTGCCAGGCCTACTTGGTCTCTGGACCCACTTCTCACCGTGATGCACTTAGAATATGCCATCAGCACCTGCTCCACTTGGCTTGCTCTCTTGGGTTCCTGGAATATCTGAAGAAGGGAAAGAATGTCTCCTAGAAAAAGGCTTTGGAATGCTGGGTCTCAGGTCTGCTTGAGACCCTGGGTTTTGTGACCTAGAAACAGGAGGACCTCACTGAGTCAAGCTTTGGGGAACCCTCTGGGCCTGTAGTCAGGGGCCAGAAGAGGTGGGGGTGAGAACTAGGAGAAGCTGAACCATCCCAATTTGACAGCAAGAGAATTCCAGGAGGAGCTCTGGGCAGCACTGTCCTCAAAAGGGGGAGGGGTCCAGCTGAAGGGCCACTCACCTTTTTCCTGACAGCCAGGCGGGCCAGCAGACCACTCTTGTCCCAGTGAGCATGGACCTGGCGCTGGTACTCATAGGAGGGAAAAAAACAGACTACCCCTCCAGGGACCACATTGCATAGGTTACAGAGAATGCGGCCTGTCTCGTCCATCTATGAAAGACAGATAAGGAGCATCATGGCAGTAATACCCACATAAGAGTTGCTTGCATTACCCCAAAACCAAGGATGGAGAACCATTGTGTGACTAGGCCACGGAGGATGATGGCCAACTGGCTTCCTGAGTGGAATGTGCCAGCCACCTTCCTACCAAACGTGCCCAACTCCTTCTGGTGATTGCCCACCTTTATGGCACATGTCCCAATGTCAGCATCCCAGTGATAAAATATAATATTGGTTCACCAACTCCCAATGTCCCAAAGTACATCATCCATGATACCAGGCACTGAACACCCCAGGCATGCCACTGGAGATGTGCCTAAAACCTGCAACCCTGGTCCAGGGCAGGAGCCCATATAACCAAGGGACCATAGAACCAAAGGAAATGAGCAGTGTTCTCATTCCACACTAAAGGGATACATGAAGGTTATAAGAAATTTTACTTACCAGCCTAAGGAATAGGGGAATGGCTCAGACCTTCCTTGATAAACATCTATAGATCCTACTCATCCTGTGCCAGCTGTGATGGTCACGAACTTCCCCTGTACCAGGACTAGTCAGGACCACCCACCCAAGAGCTCTCTCCCCTGCCCTAGGAGGGCTGTAGGAAGGCTGCTGCTGGCACTCACCATCTGAGGCAGCTCTCTCTTCTGGTATGTGAATTCCAACTGCTGGTTGGAGGGCCCGCTGCAGATGACGAGGGGCAGGATGTTGTCTGGAGGGATCACGTGGCCTGGTGAGACCCACGAAGGGGATGAGAACCTGGCAGACTATTCTGCCAGGCAAAGTCCAGGGAGGGTGTTTTCCTAACCTGTCTTCCAGATGAGGAAGATTTATAACATACCTACTCACCCACCCCACTGCCACAATAACAGTGGGCAATGCTGATGGTGGGGCAGAGTGTAAGGGCAAGGGGAAGCGTGCTGGAGAAGGCAAGGCCCCTATCCCGTGGTCTCCTCAGCCCTGGGTCTCGCATGCAGCAAAACCAAGACTACTGGGGCCAGAGTGTGCCTGGTTTGTCCCACCCTGGACATGGATCCTCACCACAGGAAAACTCCACCACTCGCTCAGCTTCCACCCCAGCACATGCCAGCAGCTGTTCTCGAAAGTCAGACACCTGTAGGTCACAATGTCAAGACTTTGTGACCTCCAAGAGGTCTGAGGAAAAGGAACCTCAGGCCGTGACTTGGGGGTCCATGGGTGAGGGTAGAGCCCTGGCACAGAGAGCAGAGAAGTCTGGGCCAGGAGGCAGCCAGTATGGTAGAAATAGGACCTGAAAGAAAAGGTGGGTGATACATTAGCAAAAAAAAAAAAACAACCTTTAATGACATCCAGTGTTGGCAGCCTCATTAGACAACCTGTGGGAATAGCAAAGGAAATTTGGCCAATTTGGCACAGAGATTCTCAACCTAGCTGTGCACTAAAACAAAACAAAACAAAACAAAACAAAAAAACACCAGAGGGGATTTCAAAAAAAATCCAAGTGCCAGGTCCTAGCTCAAACCACTGAATAAGAACCTCCAGGGTTTTCACCTATCAAACTGGCAAGAATCCAAGAGTTTAATCACTCTGTGGAGAAATAGGCATTCTTAGATATTGTTGGTAGGATACAGAATAGTTGCCATCCTTGGGCAGAGGAATCTGACAGTACTTAGCAAGTTAGATGTAGTTTTTAATCGGCATCCTATATCTAAGATCTACTCTGATGATACAGCCTATAAATACCAATTAACGTGCACATAAGGATCTTTCTTTGGAAGTTATTTGCCCATAAGAGACTGGTTGAACTAGCCCTGCTACATCCACTAAAGAATGACCATCTTTAGTGCTAACAGATGGAATTGCCAGGACACACAGGTAAGAAACAACTATCATCATACCTTTGATGTTATTTAAAAAGGAAACTACACACACACACACACACACACACACACACACACACATATATACATACATGCTTATTTTTGCAAACAAAGCAAAAACACTCCAAATTACGACAATGAAGAGATAAAGCATTAGCTACTGAAAATGATTACCTTATCGGGGTGAAGAACCAGCTGGTAAGGGATGGGAGTGGGGGATGGGGTTGTAGCTCAGGGTAGAGTGGATGCCTAGCATGTGTGAGGCATGGGGTTTGTTTCTTGGCACTGCATATAAATAAATAATATAAATAAATAAAATAAAGGTCCGTTGACAACTAAAAAAATATTTTTTAAAGGGATGGGAGTGAGATATGGACGTTATATACTTTAAAAACAGAATTAAGTCAAAAATGAAAAAGCAAACTCTGAAGTTGGAAACAAAAACAACAAAAGCCTAGTGACCTGTCAGACTGTGAGCAAGCACACAGAGAAAAGC